TGGGAACATCCAACTTCTTTTGCAATTACCTTTTGGGGCTTTCCCTCCTTTTGGGGGGGGTCAGTGATGGTTTTTTGCACAACTGTCAGGGCAGCAGTCTTTCCCATGCTTGTGATTCCTACTGAACCAGCCTGAGAGACCATTTAAAGGCTCAGCAATCCTTTGCAGGTGTTATGGGTTCATTAGCTGATTAGAGTGGGACACTTTGAGCCTAGAATATTGAACCTTTTCACACTATTCTAATTTTCTGAGATTGTGAATTTGGGGTTTTCATAAGCTGTACGCCATAATCATCACAATTATACCAAAGTAAGGCTATGTAATGCGTCTGTCTCATATATTGGTTTCACCTTTTGAGTTGCCGTACTGACATAAAATGTAATGCGTCTGTCTCATATATTGGTTTCACCTTTTGAGTTGCCGTACTGACATAAAATGTAATGCGTCTGTCTCATATATTGGTTTCACCTTTTGAGTTGCCTTACTGACATAAATGAACATTTGCATGATATTCTAATTTTTCGAGTTTCACCTGTATATTCATTCACAAACATACACATGCTCAAACTCATACACATAAGTGATCTTGCAAATTATAAAAAAGTTATAAGAAAAATTAAAAACTCTTGGCACAATATATTTGAATAATGAAAGCAATTTGTCCTGGACCATTTTGGGGTTCTTTGGATAATTGTCAGAACTGGAAAATAGATTAAGTTTGTATAGATAGAGTTGGGCAACATCATGAAATAAAGTGATGCTACATCAGCTTTTTTGGGGGGGTATTTCTTTTTATTCCTTTTGATAACTTTTTTTTAACCCACTCTGGTCAAGCTTATTCTGTGGATGCTGCCAAATATACTCTGAGTGGTTACTTAACTTTCCTTACTTGCAGATGGTTCACCCTTTTCTTTCAGTTGTTTTCTTTTTCATCCCTTTCTGTAATCATATTGGGATAAGCAAAATAAGACAGATGAGAGGTCAAAAGTATTTTCAGTCAGAAGTACATGGATGCACTGGACATACCTGGTGCAATTTTAAGAGTCAGAGCAAAGTCACATGAAGCAGCAAATATAACATACTGAAACTAATATGAAATACAGCTTTCCCTCAGTTTACATTAATTCACTTTATCTGAAGTCTTTAGGAAGCATAACTTGGGATCAAAGTGAGGGAAGCCCTTAATTACCCATGGAAGAAAATGCATATAGTTTTCCTTTCAGTACAGAGATCAGTTAAGTTCCATTGTCTATATTTGCATATAACAAACAGCCAGGTTTCTTGAAATATCAGCTTAGTTGATAAAATTAAAATGAGAAGTATTAGAACCTCAGTTGTAAGGAATATATTTATTGGGCAGTACCATTCTTTCAGTCATATATGACTTGCAATTGTCTATTAGTCATTTTATATATTCTTTTTTTCTTCTTCTTTCCCAACCCCTATATTAGAGGCAGCAGTGCTATGAGGAAGAAAGGAAAAGCAGCTTTCATACTGTGAACATAATTGATTCAATAAATAACATGTTAAGATTCCCAGTGCAAAACTCAAGAGTTCTCACATTTGTCAGTTAGTGCTGTATTTAGTAAATGGTGGCAAACTTAATTTAGACGGATGAGCTGTGTTAGCCAGTTCTCACTTCCTGCGGAGATGATGAAAACAGAAAAAGGAGTTGCAGTTTCCAATATTTAAAGTTTGTAAAGAAGCATTTTGCAAGCCATTCTGAATTTTTAAAATGTGGATCATTTGGGTTGTTGGTATTGTAGCTGATACAAAATTGCCATGGAATACATCCCAATTAGTATAGGACCTTGATCTGTAGCCACTGACATCCAGATCTGAAAACAAGCAATACAGTGAATACTAGAATCAAACTACCAAATTCTGATTGGCACAGTGGACGTGATACCAGCATGCTGGTCAAAATTGCAATAAGCTATAGCTGCAGTTTCCAGTTATAAGAGATCTGATAAATCAGTGCAAACAAAAAAATATAGTTTTATTTTCACAGTATTAAAAAAAATGTATGAGGTGTGAGCTTACACATAATCCCCCCAACCACCACCCCCTCCCCCCCCCCCCTTCTTCAGCCTTACTTTC